TAACTACAAAAACTGGATGACAATATAACATATAAAAATATTTGTCTTTCAAAAAACATTTGTTTTTCTCAATCATCCGAAACTGGTTCTAATGAATATCATCAAACCGTCAAATCAACTCATTTTAGTCATACAAAGCTTCATACCTTTAATTCCTTTTTCGTGTTTGGTGAAAATATTTTTTAGTTTCTTTATTACACTCTTACCATTAGACATTGTTAAAATTTATAAAATTATTTTACTTGTACAGTATAACGAACGATAACAGAATGTAATAGTAATGCATATTGTCAAGGTATGTAGATCTTACCGTTTGTATATATTAAAGGAGGATCTGAGTTACGGAAAAAAAAATTTAGTTTTTTAGGCGATTCAAAGACCGGCCAATTTTATATATTGATAATAAAATTAGCATGAATAATAATAAACTTGAATAAATTAAATCTTTTTAAATTTAAAAACTCACACATACATAAAAAGTGAATTAATAAAAAATTTTTGAAATTTGAAACGGGAGTAGGATAAGATTCCCAAATAATAAAATACTTAATTACTTGATGAAACCCTAGATGCGAAACAAATGATCTTAAATTTGCAATGTGAAGCTAAAATACATTTTTTTTTTTAGGAGAAAATTTTTGAGAAATGATATACGAACTGCGACCAAAGAAATTAAATTACTACTAAATAAATAAATTAACGATATAAAACATGATATTTGTTTTCTTTTTTATAAAAAATCTTTGTCAATTAATCTTTAGGAAATAAAGTGTAAATCATGTCAAAGAATTATTCGATATATATTGTAATATGGCTTTTAATTCGATTGATAATTGAAGTGAATTGCCAGATGAAGCCTTTCAAGCCATTAAAACGATTTGCTCATACTGCAACACTTATTGATAAAAAAATTTATATCTTGGGTGGTCGACTCGCTGATGATACTGAAATAGTTGGAAAAGAATGTTTTATCTTGACGTTTCTGTTCCATTTAATGCTAAAAATATCATATGGTATGATCTAACAGATAATAATACTCCAGCACATCGTGCTGCTACATCTGTCAGAGGTGGTCCAAATTATGATACTTTGTTTTATATGGGGAAATCAAGAATGGAATTGGTTTATGCGTTTGATACCAAGTGATTCATGGAGTGTTCCACAAATTGCCGAAAATGTAGATAACAACATCATCAAGAAAAAACAAAGTATAAAGGCCATCGCTGATGATTATGGGAAGATGTATTTGTTCGTGGAAAACCTGAAAAAACAGATAGGAATTTTGCCGACATAAATCTGAAAAAGAACTCAACAAGAATAATGAAATAAAAACCAAAAGTGTAAAAAATTTTCAACGCTGCGAATCGAACCTGAAACTAAAACAAACTTACTTTACACGAAAAATCGCCGACCCAAAGTGAACGCGCCTTTATCTAAAGTACTAAGAAATTAAAGAACAAATAATTATTTTCTTTTATTCTTGACTAAACAGATTTAGGTTGGTAGAATATTTTCGAAAAAGGGCAAAAGTTGCTTCACACTTGCTTTGCAAATAATGCGAACGAGAGGATACTTCTTTTTATATTTTTGGTCCTTAAGTTCAGAGAGTGTATTCACCGACCTGCGGATATATCACTTTAAAAATCGCCATTAATATGTTTTTATTTTTTATTAAAGAAAGGAAAAAGGAAATTATTAAAAAAAAAAGCGTAGTATTAGAAAATGGTTGTATATCCAGTTGTTTATTACTTTGCTCAACATGAAAATATGTTGAATTTGAAATTTTAGATGACAATATACTGTATCTACAGTACATTGGAACAATACCTCAAAAAATTCAAAGCATTAAATAAATCCCAAAATTAATGATAAACCCATGCGATTCATGGACCGATAAAATTTGTTCCATCTTCTCTATATAAAGTACGTAATTCAGGTTTCACCTTAACATCTGCTGATACAGAACCAAGGCATTCTGAATATATATACCAATTTTCCCTTGTGAATCCTAGCACTATAACAAGCTAATTTCGCATAATACACTAGTGGGACAATAGAAACAGCACGTTTGCATCGCGCAAATGTATAGCACAAGTTGTATGATAAGGTTTGAAGTGAATCGGGATCAATTCGGTTTTCATCATACAATACGTAATAATATGTTGGACGCAGAAGTTCCTTGCGTTGCAGTGTGACTCTGAAGATAAACGTCGAATTCGAAAGGATTTGTATTGTTGATTCAACAACCGTACCAACAAGAAAGTTTCCTATCCTATCTGAATCTCTCACGTCTGTAGATAATCAAAGGTGGTTGATGGTTTATAAGTATCTTCAAGTGCTGTACATGCATCTGTTATTAAGAAAATGGAAATAAATGTGGGTATGTTATAAATTAAATTACATAATTTTTACTGCTTCGATATCAAAATCGAACACTTGATGAAATTGACCCTCTGAGACACCATTTCGATAAAACAAGTTACGTTCCGGGTTTTTTCCTCAAGTCTAGTAGAAGGTTTCAATAGCTCCCTTACCATACCTCCCAAGTCATAGATGATTTCTTGTCTATCTGCTCGAACTCGAAATGAAGAGCATATCGATATGCTCTTGCATCAAAAAAAGTAACGATTCCTCCAGTTGCTTCTACTGTTAAAATTAAATAAAATTGTGATGTATTTTTTTTTATGAAGTTACGCGACGAACTCTTGTTTAACATGAAGGGTTTTCTCTGGTCAGATATTTTCACCTTTTTTTTTAAAAAAAAAAAAAAATCTAATTTAATTTAAAACAAAAATGTAGGTTATAGTAGCAAGTTTTTATTTTAACTCAAATTTGACGAGACGCGAAAAATAGATCAAATGACTTGAATATATACCAATAAAATTCAAATCACATGACTAGATGCACAAACACGTGATTTATGATCGATCCCATAATCCGACAAAATTCTCATTTTTCTATAAATTTAATTCAATTTCAATAGATGATCGGTATTATTTTTTTTGTTATTTATTTTTTTGCGATTTTTTACTGTCTATGCTTATTATTGCGCACATGTTGATTGTGTAGTTTCATAATGTCATGGGTGCACACTTGGCTTATGAGTCCAAAATAAGTGATGGTTTAATTTCGTTAACTAATAATTGATGGAATGGAATAATTCCTATCAATTGTTAGCGGGAGTCTTCTAATAATTGTTGGAATGGAATAATTCCTATCAGTTGTTGGAGTGTCTCCCTTTCTGATAATTGTTGGAATGGAATATGTCCTATCAATTGTTGGAGTCTAATTTTTTTTTAATTAATAGCGGGTTGGGTGTGATATATTAGTGGGAAGTAAAAAAACATAAAACAATTATCGTAACTATTAAGTTTCGATATTATTAGCTTTGCCAGAAAAAAATAAAAAAATGTTTTAGTTTTTTTCACTGAGACTTGTATTAAAATATTCCGCTACTTAACAAGATTAAATGATAAATATTAGCCAATCAGCGGAAAAAAGATCTTTTATTCATCGGAATAGTATTTGCAAAATCAGTCTCCGAAAAATTTCGTTTCCGATCAAATTGAGTTAGATGCTTGAGAACGTCGCAAGTCCAGTTTCGGTAACATGTTCTGGGCATTCTTCATAAGAGGTTATCATTTTTACCTATATAAAGCCTTCTTTATTCATCTTCCATCTAAAAAAAATTCTTGAGGCTGTAACAAATAGAATCGAAGCAAAATAATGGTGTTAGTTACTTTTTATTTATTGATTTACGTCATTTCATGCTGATATCAGTCTATTCTAAGGTAAAATTTTACGAATTCACGTTTGATATTTTATTACATTCTAGTGTAGAACTTTCTCAATATTGACACGTCGATCTCGATTAAGCTACCGAAAAAAAGATATAAATACCACAAATTCCTCTATTGAAATTTTTTTATCCACGCCTTAAATCCGCTCGTTTAGATTGGATTTTACATATTTATGTCCGGAGGTAGCTTAACTCGAATCTATCAATTAAGTCAAACTAAATCTTTAAAAGTGTGTTTTGGATCTTTTGTTTTATTAACAAATTGTATTTTATACAATACATTTTGAGGTTATTTTATAAATGATAAAACAAATAATATAAATAAAATGAAGGTTATTCTTTTCTGATGCGCATAAAAAATGTCAATTTATTTTATTATTGAATTCGATATTTCAAGGTATTGATTTTTTTCATTACTAACTGGTAGTGCTCCAAAAAAAAAAAAAAAAAAGCTTGATATAATAATTCAGATGATTGAGAAAAACAAATGTTTTTTGAAAGACAAATATTTTTATATGTTATATTGTCATCCAGTTTTTGTAGTTAAATTTCTCATTTTCTCCATCTCACAACTTTCTTCCTTTTTGTAAGTTACGAATTAATTTTTACAAAAAGATCACCTCACAGAATGATCACACTTTTAATTTATTTAATCATTTAAGTCAACTAGTCAAATAGTACAAATAGGGCAGTCGTCAAATTAGCATAATTGATAGATAGTTGTTCCAATTTCTTAGTGAGTTCATCCACTTCAGTATTAGTGTATCAAACAAAATAATTTCATATTATATGATAAGTTATAATAGAAATTCACATTTCTAAATTTATTCATTTTTTTTTTTTTTTTTTTTTTTTTTTTTTGTTTGTTTAAAAGAAAAGAAAAAATAAAAACAAATTAAATTAATTGAATTGAATTTTGTATTTTCAACCTTCAAAATGATCTCTATTGTTCTATAATTCTATGGTTAATTATAAATAGTATCAAAAACTTTAATAACCTCTTTCATAACCTTGCCGCAAGCATAAGAAATAACGACAAAGCACGTGACAAAGTCCACGCATATTAAACTAATACCTCCCAACATAAATCTTGGTGCAAAAACTTTCCATACCATCAAATGCCTTCGAAACCATGCCGCAAATATTGCCGTACTAGTTGTTATTACGGAATTATATAAAATATAATATAATATGGTGGTTGTAAGTGAATAATAAATAGAATTTCCAAGCGTTGATGGTGATTTATTCCAAAATACCAATAAAGGTATTGCACATGTAAACAAAATTTGCGATGATAACGCGTTAAGTGTAACTAATATTGGCGTTATTGTAAAGTTCGCTTCATCAATTCCAATGAATCCCGCCGACCATTGAATCGATGGAATTGTAGCTTGATGTCCCGTAGAAAAGAAAAATAATGTTCCACACAATGAAAAGACAACTATGTCAAGAAATGTCGTATCTTGTGAATCAATTAAACCTCCACCTCTTTTTGCATCAATCATTTCTAATGAAATCATTATTTGACATAAGGCTATAGAAATCATTAATCCGCCCATGGGTTGTTGAGTGATAATCAATAACAAATAAATGATCGTCAAGAAAATAAAATATGAAGCTCCAAACGAATTGGCAAATCCTAAAATTTCAACTGCTCTCTGTGAAGGTCGTTGGCCAGGTTGATCGCTTCTTTTGGAATTTTTCTCGGGTAACTTTGTTGATTTACTCGATTTATCATCAATATTAATCATCTTCAAGTCTAAACATAGTGGATTCGTCCACCATGCAAGATGTCCAATTAAAGTAGCTATTCCGAAAGCCATTCTAACCAAAAAATTCTTACCCCATTTGAAACTTTCATTAATTATCCAATCTGAAATGCTCATTGTACCCTGGGAGGAGGGAGTTGGTGGGTTCATACTATCCGAGTTATCCATAACCCAATATGCTGCGGATAACATCAATCCAGCCCTTAATGCCCAATCAATCCAAAGTGGCGCGACCCCATTAAAACTTTTTGTAATCAATAAGGTTCTACGTATTATAAAAGGAATTATCACAGAAAAGGCGACTAAAGCTAGTAATATGACCGGTGATGATACTGAATTCTCCGAAGATTCGTAAAATGTCATGGTGCAATTAGGTAGTTGTTCTTCGCGACAAATGGTTGAATATGCGGCTATACGTATCAACATTAATGATACGAACGAACACATTATCAATCTTTGTCGAAATCGTTTATTTCGAATACTAAATGCCTTGATCAATGTATAAATTCCAAATGTTTGCAACAGCCAAACACTAATTCTATCTTCAAAAACCGTGTAACTATTGGATGCAAATGATAACGAGTGAAGGATAAGGAACAAAATTGCCAAAAATGTATCAAGTGAAAAATAAAGTTTGTTTAAGCTGAATGATTTAAGATATGAAAAATATAACTTAATGAATTGAGACGAAAACCCAAAGACAGATCCAAAAGAAGCGCTCAATATGATTAAATCCATAGTTGAAAAGGTATAATCTCCCAAAAATGGTTTTAGTAAAAGCCCCGTGACTCTCAGTCTCGTTAAAACTGCACCAATGCTCCCTCCAACTAAAGCATGCATGACGCTCGTCTGATTGCTAATATGAATTGCTTCGCGTTTTCCTAAAAATATATGCATTAACGTGCAGACACAACTTGCTATTAAAATACCAATTCCAGAAATCATCAAAATCAAATCAAATTGTGCCCATATTCGACGACATATAGATAAGGTAATTCTCAAAAAGCTCAGATATTGCACAATCAAATTTTCTAAATCATCCGATGATGCACCCGAAGATCCTTCTAATAAACCATATTGACCTTCCGCCTGCTCGAATAAATCTCTCAAAACATGAAGTGCTTCTTTTGATAACTCGGAAGATGGTTGTTGTCGTGAATATTCAACCACATACCGATAAACTTGTTCTGCATTAAGTCTCATCACATCCAATAAATTTTTCAATTTTTGCTCGACACTTGAATCGTGATTCCCATCTTTAGAGCTAACTAAAAACAATTCTGGAATAACACTACCTAAATTATTAAAAGGAATGGGTAATCCTAGTAATAATGAGAAAGTTGGTATAAAATCTATCTGAGGTATGCTTCTCCATTTTCCAAAATCCATTGTAAAAGATTTTCGACCGTGTGAATCAGCATCATCAACTTTTTGTAAGATACGATGAATAATCGCGGTTGTACCTTCATCCATCGTGAGTTGCTTTTTACTATACATAAACAGTGCGGACTCAACTTCATTATTACTATCACCACCGTGATCTCCCTTGGGGTCCATTCCATGATCGCCCATGACGAGAACGATCGTATCTTCATCAACAGATTCTACGACATCCCGAATCATCATGTTCATTTGATTCAATTTTTCTGACATCGCTGGATGATCAGGACCATAGCGATGACCACAATGATCAACTCCTAAAAAATGTGCAATCAAAACATCCCAATCTGATCCAGAAACGGATGAACGTTCCCTGTAACTTTCCCGTTTCAGAGTTGGAATTAATAAATTTAATATTCCGTTATCTACGGTGTGAAGGTCCCAAACGTTAAAAGATGGAAATGGATGTGTCATATTTTTTTCAAATTGATCCGGAAAAAGTGACACCCAAGTATCATCTCCCATAAAGGCAATCTTCTTTCCTTGTTTAAATAGCTGATCTATCAAATTATCTTCTTCTATAGATGACCCAGCAAAATTACTTCCTGCGTCAATGAAGGTGGGTAAAGTTCCAGTTGTTAGAGCCTTTAAACGTTGTAATGTGGTGGTCGGGGCATCAGCTATAAACTGAAATAATAAAGCATGAGAAGGTTGAGAATTTAAAAGTTCGTGAAAGATGGGAAGTTTGTCTAAATAATGGGGAAATGACTCATCAATAGTATCATTTGTGTGAGAAGCGGCAAAATCAAACCTAAGAGCATCGACTAAGATTACGACAGCTTTTTTGAACTGGGTAGGATACCAACAACTATCAAGAGTTGTTAATGGGACTTGTCCTTTCAAAAATGGCGTTTCGGAACATTTACTTTTATGATCTAAAACTAAACGGGTTAAAAGAAAACCTCGAGTAAAAAGAAATAAACCTCCAAGGTGTAATGAAAACAGCCAGATAAAAAAGAAAACTAAATATTTGTGATTCTTGTATTGACTTCCTGACGGGGACTGAACCTTTTTACTTTTCAAAGCTCGTTGTTGTAATTGATCATTTCTAAACTCCATTTTATGCACATCATGCATCCTTTATGTATTTTTTATATATAACTAACATTTATAGTAATCCAAAGATTAATTATCGGAGAAAAAAGAGTTTGATCAACATCAAACCGATCAAATTTAATAAACATCCAGATTAGGGATGGAAATTTAACTTGGTAAAAAAGATTTTTTAAAAATTTTCTTTGCTTTAATTGGTTGATTCAAATTAATTTTCAAGAAGTAACCTTACTAAAAGGGTCATAACCTGTGATTGGCTATTTTCTATATATGTCAGTCGCGTCGGAAAGTGAAATTACTATATAAAATTTTTTTTCTGGATCCTACAATTAAAATGGTTCTTGCATTTTAAGTTCCCTAAATTTAAATATCATTTTCACAAATATGAATAATTAGCTTTAAAATTATGCAAAATTTATAAACAATTATCAAATGAAATATAAATACATATATATGCAGCTCGAAATTGTCCATCTTTATTAAGTTTTTTTTGATCTAAAACATAAAAAAAATCTTTAACAATTAAAATAGTTTATGCATTTTAAATTTTCCACAAGTTAACCTCTTTTTTTAAAATAACGAGCTTTTAAAATTTATATTCTATTATTTATGATTTGTTATAAAATTTGAATCGGGCGTCGTACTTTAGATTTTTTTTTTTTTATTATTATCGTTATACAAAATACAAATCTTAAGGTTAAAAAAAAATTAAACTTAATGATTTCTTTATCTTGAGAATTTTATGAAAATCACAAAATCACAAAATAAACGTTTTTAAAATGGCGTGATAAATCACTTAGCTACAATAGATGCTGGATTTATGGTATGTTGAACGACTTTTTTTAAGTGAAAGTCTCTCATTTATAATCACCTTAAGCATCAAGGGTGCTAAATTACCCTTAAAATACTTTGGAATATATGCTTACGTAAGTTCCGTAATAAAATACCAGTAGATCATAGATGTCAATTACATTTCCACCTATTTTCTTAAATTATTTTTATCGTAAATTGTCACTTACAAACATGTCAAATATCAACAACCAGCTAAAAAACCGTATTTGAAAATTGACGAAAAAATCTGTCAACCTTTTTGAACTTGACGAAGACGGAAAGCTAATTCCATTGCCACAAGCAGTTATATGGAAGCCGTTGTTGCAGAAATCGCCGGTCAACTTGTAACTGGAACCTTTATACTCGTCAGGACGGTGTTGTTACTACCTCTCAAGGAAGGTTCAAATTCAAAACTACGGACGATAGAAACATTAGGGCGCCGGATGTCCGAAAGACACATATTGTAATTTGACTCAACAACTTTGGACCTTCCAGGGTGAACCTTTTACCCCTAGGTCGGGGATTTCGGAACCAATACAACCAATTCAATTTTTATGGATGTAGATAAAAGATTTTAAGAATGATATCTTTGCAAATGGCACGTCGGGTCAACTGTCGATCCAAAAACAGGTGGATCCTTATATATAGAAGAGATCAGGATCGGATAAGTTTTCGTACGTGGAGGAATATTAGTGATGAAAATGTTTTGCCAGGCTTCACGTTGAACATTTCTAGGATCGATTTCGTTATCTCTCAGGTGAGTTATTATACCTTATTTTTATGCTATAATTTTTTATCATTTACATATTCATGGATTGATTGATCACAGGAAAAATCGACAGTAACAGAAAGGTCAAGCGTAAAGAAAACTTTGACAATCGGCATAAATTTATACAACGCTACGAAGACCATGCACTCCTGGGATAGATTATAATATTATGGGTGATTCTGTTTGAAAAGAGCTACATATATAGCTCGTTAAATTTTTGGCGTAAAATGAAACATGAAAGTATGAAACTTTTAATTAAAAAAATCAGCCAAAAAAAAAGGCAAAAAAATTAAAGAGCTTTGAATAATAAGTAATAGTTATTGGTTGGGGGGTCACCCCGAAGGGGTGACACGATATTTTATCCACCCTAACCAATAACTATTACTTATCTTATAATATATTATTTTATCAAATAATTTTATTCTTTAATTGATTTATAAACGGATAGGATTTACTTAATATTGAGTTACTATTATAAACCTCGTTTTTAAAATCACGCGAATATATTTTTTCTATTTTATACTCCTAATCTAATTGATAATCATAATCGTCAATTTTTTAACCAATCATGTCGATTATCGAGTTCATTGAATTCAAGAACTTTTTTAAATTAGTGTTACAAAATTTTTACCGGTCATTCTACGATAGATTCGTAGATCAATTGGATTTGGTGAAACTACATTATACTTATTATACTTTCTTTATAAATGTATAAATGAGGGTTTGAATAACAAATACAAACCATTATTTTCCTTTTTGTCGAAAATGTCTTTGCTTAGAAGACCTTCAAGATTAACGAGCCTTTGGGAATTAGAGTCTTCCGATGAAGAGAGTACTTTTCAAGATGACCAACAAATGTCTAAACATTCCTTCCCAAGGGAAGAATTTGAAAAAATGAAAGAAAAAACACGACAGGGTTGTCCTTGTGACGACTGCGAACGAGGTATGTTTATTATTTTTTTTTTTTTTTTTTTTTTTTTCCTCTTTTAATAATTATATTTGTCCTGTTATAAAATAAAATAGCGATTGACCCAGAAATTCGGCCAGACTTTACAGCTTTACTAAAAATATTTTCCTCGGATAAGTTATTGCGTCAAGCGGCTATTTTTGCTGGAACACGCAAAATTAACGAAAAAATTGTTGACCACTTTCACACCACATGGAAACATCCTATGCACATGGGAGTACCAAATGTAGAGTTTGTCTCATTTATGATGAGTGATAGGAAAGTTTGTCAAAGATTTGACGAATATATGTCAGAATTACTGTTGATATTAGACGATCCACATGTAAAACCTTTGTGGCATGGAACAACCATTAAATGCAAATTTGATGATAAACCTTGTGACCCAAGTTCAACAGATTGTTGCGCTGGGTGTAATATATTGAGTAAAGGATTTGACATTAGTAAGAGTGGGTCAGCAAATCCCTTTAAAAGGTAAGAATTAATTATGCCTAAAAAAAAAAAAAATATGAAAGGATTGTAATTTGACTAATATTTACTTCATTTTATCAAGGTTTGGATCGGGAATATATTTTGCACCAAATTCTTCAAAAGCACATAGTTATGCTACTCCCAGAGGAGGATCGGATGATCTCTTCACAATTTTATTTTGTTTCGTTGCCTTGGGAAGGTATAGAATTTTAACGTATGATTCTCAACTTTTTCATTTATTTACATATCTAATTCTTTTAAATGTTCTAAACGGAATGAAGATGCCACACGACGACTGATGATATGCCACATTTAACGGATGCGCCTTATCCTTGCCATTCAGTTCATGGGCGTGTAGGAACTAGATTGAATTATGAGGAATTTGTGATTTATAGACCGGATGCAGTTGTACCATTTGCGGCCGTAACATACAGAATGGACAAATGGTGATAAGGGTTAATTTATTAACGTTGAAAGTGATTCTTGTTAATCACAGAGAAAAAATCACAATGTAATTTTAATACATCACAATGGGCGGTTGTTTCACGTGATTTCGGAAATTTCTCCGGTATCGTCGGAAAATTATGATGAGTTACACATAACAATTAATAACATGCATGAAAAAAAAAAAAAATTATTTAAATCTCTTCTCTCCTGTAATTTTATACACAAAGTTTAATGTGAATTACTTCAAAGTAAATAAAATAAAAAATATTTTTATTTTCATTTATATACCTTATAAATATTTTACATAACTTTATTCAGTTGTAAATTAAAAATGTCGCTTGTTGCTACTAGAGAACGACGTCCTAATGCCGGCAATAGGTAAACTTCAAAGAGAAGTTTTTTTTTGTTTTCTATATTTACGTATTAATATGAATAAATATAAATTTTATAGGATGAGGGAACTTCTTGAACGAGAATTGGAAATAGAAGAAATGTTCGAAGAAGTGGCAAATGATGAAGATTTTATGATGATTCAAGGTTTTTATCTTGTTGATCAAATCTATGAAAATCGAATTTAAAATTGCTAAAATCCTTAAAAATCATTTAGAAGAGGATGATACAATTGATTCTGACTTCGATCAAAGTACTGCAGGAGAAGATGAAGATGAAGAATCTGCGGAAAAACAAATATTAGCGGATGAAAAAATGGAGAAAAAGAAGGTAGATCTTGTCATTTTCATTCGAGTGTATATATACATATATATATTTTTTTAATTAAACATGTAATCTTTTTTCTTTTTAATAGAGAGCAAAGAAATCCAATTTAACGCCCTTTGCTCCGTTTTTACGCGCAGGAGATAAAAAAAAATCTGTAGTAACATCAAAAGTTGTTCCTGGTCGAGAAATCAAAAACGAATCAACTAAAGTAATATCAGAAAAGAAAAAGAAACAAGCCTTTCAAGGTATATTTTTTGCAAATTTATATAAATTCATTCTTTACAACCATTTAATACGTGATATATTAATTTTATATAGTTCCTCTCTTATCCGGAACTCGTTCTTCATCCAGAACGCATACAGTTCAAAGTAAACAAATGTTGGCAGAAAAACTGAAAGAGTATGAAGCAAGAAAGGTTAAAGTGAACTTTATAAATATCGTAATTCAGTGGTCAATACTTTGTTGGTTGACAAAATATCTGTTTAATTAGGCTTTAACTCCAAGAAAAGAAAAGATTCCTGAAAAGCCAAAAACTCAGGAAGAGTTACTTGCACAAGCAAAAATAACAGAGGAGAAAAATTTGGCATCATTGCGTGCTTATGAAGTAAAGGAGGCAGAAAAGAAAAAGACAGTAGGCAAACTGAATAAAATTAGAATTACTGGACCTTTTATCCGTCAGATTTCTTATGTATGTAGTGATGATAAAAGGAATAAGAAAAGGCCAAGATTAGTAACAGAGGTTTCAACGGATGAAGATGGGAACAAAGTTACGAGAGAGATACATAGTGAAATTGACGAAAATAATACAAATAATATGAGCGTTACAAATGATCAGGAAGAAAAGGAACAAGAAAGCAGGGAGGCAAGAAATTTAATTATATTTAAGGATTTTGATAAAAAACTTGAAGCTGAGTTATTTCAAGAGTGGAAGATAAATCCTAAAGGTATTTGATCGTTCCATCTTTTTTTTTTTTTTTTTTTAAAAAAAAAAAAAAAGGTTGCACACATATATATAATATACAATATTTATATGATTTCTTAGAAATTGAAAAGGCAATATGTCCCATTACTGGTGAACCTGCAAAATATAGAGATCCAAAATCTGGTGTACCGTATGCAAATATGGATGCATATAAAAGGTTACAACAAGTACTTGGACATGAATATTTGTGGTCATCTGAAAAAGGAACTTTTATTATAAAATCTAAGAATAAGAAGCGTAACGCCATTAAAGCGAAAAGGGGACCAAATAGAGTTACTTCGAGAATAAAAGTTATAAAAAATTGAAGGAATCAATGTATTTTGTATAGTTTCAATATCATTCACATATTCACATATTCACATACTTAAATAAACCTACAATACCGAAATACTACATATAATTTTGATGTTGTTTTGATATCACGTGAACAGGAATTGTGTAATTTTGTATGCGAATTTGGCATGTCTGCTTATTACATAAAAAAGAAAAAAATTTCGTCTCTAATAATTATTATAAATGAGGCAAGTTTCCCCGTTCCTATTTGATATATATATATATATATATATTACTTTAAATCATTTTTAGTTTTTACTTTATATTTTAAATAACAAGATTCTTATTAACCTTGCTGTAATATGAATTTAAAATAAGTATAGTTCTGAGAAAACCTAAAAATTGCCAATTAGATCTTAGAAACAAACGCCAATTTAAATTCTTTAATTAGTATCGTATGTTGTTATTTATTCGTTTGAAATATGTCTATTACGAGTTCTTTCTATTATTTAATTGAAAAACGCGTTTATAACAGCTATTTTACTATAATTTTAGATTAGGAACACTCCACAAATTATGGTTGTATGTATTTAAATAATAATAAAAAGCTGTTTTTTTTAATCGTGTTTTTCATTAAATTAAATGTTTCCTTATCGTTTTAATTTAATTCTATTTTTTTGCAGTTGATTAAATTCACTGCGTTAAACGATTCAAACGTTCTACCAACCGAACAACCAGTAGATCCACACGATGCGCCGGTATATATTTAATTTGATTTTTTTTTTTTTTTTTTGGATTCGTCGTTATCAAATTCAATTGTAATGCTGACCGATAAATTTTTAGTTGCGACAATGCGAAACCTTATACAATTTGGCACTTCGGCGCGATCATACTAATGCAAAGGAATTATATGTGAAACTTCTAAAACACGATTTAATGAAAAATACAACGTTTCAAGTAAAACATAATTTCTTTAATTTAATATTCCGTTTGCGATAATTAAAAAAAAAATCATCTATTTAATTTTTTTATTGATTTCGTCGAATAGGTTCCAAACAATGGTATACCATTATCACAACGTATTACTCGATTAAAATACTGTGTGTTAAAGAATTATGCAGAATTATTAGAACACGAGCATCAGATTCATAGAACTAAAATCGATGCACAAAATGCAATCGAATATTATCATAGGGTAAGCAAAGATTTTTTTTATTAAGCACGTTTTTATAATGATGTTATCTTCATTATTAATAGATATTTTGCAACTTTAGGCGTTAAGAATTGATCAATCTGACCATAGTATCTGGTTAAAGATCGGGAAACTTGCAATGTCAGAAGAGATTAATGATCCCCAATATGCTCGCTCAGCCTTAACAAAAGCATTAGAAGACTTCGATGTTGCACAATCGTTTTCAAATTTTGATGAAGAAATGCACGTACCTCCCGTATTCCTCTCACCGATCCATCAAGAAGCTTTAAGAGAATTATGCCGTGTAAGTATTATATTTTTTTATTAGATGTTATTGAGAGAGCATAAAGTATTATTAATCTCAATCAGAATTTTCTAGCTTTTGTATGACATTGGTGATTTTTATGCTTGTCTGCGTGCAATTGATAAAGGCTTGAAAGCAGACCCTTACAATCAGACACTTAATCAACTCAGAATTCAACTTTTAGAGAATACATGGGTTAGATCATTATTACCAAAGTAAGGTTGACCTTAAGATTGTAATTTATTCCATACGTTAATTTTAATTATACCTATTACGTTTGAAATCTTTAAATGATTAGCGATTATTATGAAAACTCTCCACCCATAATAAGACCTTTATATTCGGAGGATATACCAAGACGTTTGAAACCATCCGGTGAATAACTTCACATATCAAAATGATTATGTCTAATGAACATTCTCAATTAATATTATTTATCATTAAATAGGAGTGTTTAGTCCAAATGCAATGAAATCATTGCGATTTAATTTGCCAAATTGTACGTGGAATGGGCTAGGTGAATGTTTACTAATTGTATATGACAAAATCATGTCTGGGTGAATATAATTTAATTTCTTTAATTCTAGATGAATGATTTATTCAAAAGTCAGTCACTAAATTTATGAAACGTTTTTATCAAATAGTAAGATTGTCGATGACGATTCGCTCATTCCAGTCAAAAGTCGACACATCATAATAGACCTTCAAGGCAATGTTGTCAAAACTCCGGATATGAATGACGCTAGTGGAACTGCTCAAAGGCGAAAAAGGAAGGAGCCTCCAAATGACTACAGTAATGATAAAACTACACAGACACGGTATATGATTGGAAAAAATATTAAGAATATTGTGGTTATTTCATAATCGTTCATGTTTCCTAAATATTTATTTTTTATAAAAAAAAAAAAAAATAGATCATCGCGTGTTACGTCTAAAATTACATCAAAAATAGACTCCTTTAATCAAAAACGGAATAATTCTTCATTGGAATTTCTTGAAAAAATCGAATCAATCATAGAAAAAGTAGAACCTGGTTATTTAATAAACATTAAGCAAGAAGATGACGCAGAAAACGATAAATTTCTTTTATATTTTAGTAAAGTTTGGAATCAACATGTTCTAAGCGAGTATCATGGATCAAATGTCGAAGAGGCCATAAATAATCCGAGGTACGTAAGTAATTTTAATTATTAATTTCAACATCTTGATGTAGTTTCTTATTTATTTTTTTACTTAATTACAGGACAAACACTGCATCTGATCCTCGATTCTATATGTTTACCCCTCATACCGATCCACCGTCACCTAATTCTTATTTTCATGATAACTACCGAACGCAAGAATCATTTGCAACATTCGTTAATGACATAAATAATAAAAATTCTGGAATTACAGACTATTTATGCATGTTCATTATACATTTGTTTGGAAAATTGGTGGAAACTGAAGATGGGATTAAGCCGTTGTGGCTTTGTCGATGGCCAGATGGATTGAAAGAAATCGTTAGAGAGATTCTACAAAGGGTTGACAATCAATTGTTGGCAATGATCGAAAATACTTGTACTGATTGGGACAGATCAGTCAATTGTGCCAATGTGATTATGGAGGAATGCTGCGATAACATTTTTCAACAAATGAAGCAAAAATCCGAGGTATCTATTGTTTTCATATAATTAAATTAAATTATAAGTTTATTTGTAACTGATAAGTTTCGGGTTGCTCATTCTTCAGGTCTTGATGGGCATATGCGAATTTTTATTTGATTCTCAAATATCAAGAAATGGTATTACAACTCCTGAAGATGCTCAAGATTCTCCAAGTCGTTGTCAGGAAATGCCTTCCGTAAGACTTCATACCTTTTGTTTTTATCAACATTCTTTATACTTAATTGACTTAATTTTTCCTTCTAGAATTTGCAAATTACTTTAGACATGTGTAGGTGGTTAATATATCGTTCATCATGGAACATAATGGATTTTGTGTCTTATGCTGAATCTCAAGGGCCACTATATGAAGAGGATGTTAGGAAATGGGAATACCATCATAAGATGTGGAAAATGTGGTCAAATCAATTGAACGCAAGGTATGCTGCTTCGTCTATCTTTCGAATAAAATCCCGTGAATACATGCTAAATACTTATGATCAAAATAGATATTGGTGGTGTACTGCTCGTATGGACTTTTGGCAAGGAGATTTAGATAAAGCAAGGACTTCTTTTGATGAATGCAAGAGGATCCTTGAACTGGGTGAATGCGTGGATATTACGATAGCGAATTGGTAATACTTTTAATTATACATTACTAAGAACTTTTATTTATTTATTTTTTAACTTAACTTATTTTTATTTGATAGTGCTTTCGATGCTCATATTAATGTTGCAATAATAAATAATAAGGTCGGATCATTGGAGTCTCGTAAAGAATTGCCAGAAGATGATTGGTCACGTACAATTACACATTTTTCTGATACGATCAAATTTTTGCTAAATTGGGTTTCTGATAACATTGATGAAGATAGGGTGGTTCAATTTTGGACCACGATTCATTCGGTTGGTAAAATATTTTGTTTTTCCTTCATATTTTTTTAATTATAAAGTTAATTTCCTTTCATTTCAGATAAATGATGCTATATCAAAAATTGCTGAACTCATGTCGGAAGGACATTCAGTTGGTAAGTAAATTCTCGAAGCAAAAATTATTTAACAATAACTAAAATTAACTTGCTTGACAATTCTTTAAAAAATAATGATTAAAAACAGCCAACCTTCCAGAAAATGAATATATGACATTCAAAAAACATTTCCGTATATTGTATAAAACGAGTTTTGAAATACTATTTCCAAAAACTGAAGAGATTGTAAATGCAGAAGCTGAATCAAGCGAACCTCTTCATATCTTGTGTGCTCGTACATGGATCTTATTTTACCATTTATTAAAAGAAAATTCTTCCGTTTCGAGTGAAGAATTCGTTGAATTTTTAGTCACCGTTCATGATCAGCTAGGGGAGCGTTATATTTGCGGAACAGATAATGGTGCGTGTATATGTTATTTTAACTATATATTCATAAATTTATTTCTTACGGTACTTTATTTATTTCTTTGATAAATGTGTTATTTTTAGGTGCATTTTTAAAATTTTGCATAAAAGCCTTTACCGAACTTCATCCATCAGAAAACCGTATACACGAATATCAATGCTGCCATTGTTTATATCGAGTCGTTCTCAGTGTATGTAATTCTATTTGGAGTTTAAACTACTTTACAATAACGTTGTTGACAATAGAATATTTGCATACTTATTAGGTTGATACCGAAGTTCCATGGGACCATAAAACCCAGCCTGTTGAACTCGATATCAAAACAGCGGAATTGCTTTTCAAGAACATTCGAAATTATATTAACGAAAAACCATTCCGGACTTGGCAGATCAAGAATGATGTCAAGGACACTTTAGATAAGATAGCTAATATAGTGATTCCCCCGCGAAGTGACCGTAAGAATCTACTTTAATTATTTTCGTTTGGCCTTAACGAGATGATAATTTTATAACATTTATGTGGTTTTTTTTTAATAGGTTTCAATCAATGTAGCTGGAGGACACAACATTTTCTTGATAGTGAAATTAATTTTTATGAAGCTATTCAATATAAAGAACACGATCATTACGTTAGCGACCTTGGTGCAGTTTCCTATAGAGATGCCGGAGAGGGTATGTACTTTACCTGTCTTTATTAAGTAATGAATTGTTTTTTAATGTATTTAGGACTTTTTTTTTTTTTTGATAATAAATCCAATAGCTATCACGGATCTTTATTATTTCCGTGGAAAAATTCTGCAGTATCAATTCAAGACCCGTACAAAGGGTAATCAAACAAAGGCAGTAGAAACATTGGAAAGGGCTATAGAACAATTCACTGTATGTCATCTTGTTTGGTAGTGTTTTTATAAACGATTACATTTTAATCGGGATCCATATTTTTCGTAGTATGATCTTTCCAATAATCCACTAAGGTTCGCTTCATGGTATGCATTGGGATCTTGTTATGCAAGTCTTGCTGATGAAAATTTAACATGGAACGCCGAAGAGATAATAAATAATCGAGGAAGGATTGCAAAATATCAGAAGGTATTTTAGATCAAATTTGTTAATTTTATTCCATGTATTAACCATTTTATATTATCCCTTAGAAATCATTTCTTTGTTATGCGAGAGCTGCGAAGGTGATTACCTGGTTTTCTGGACAGCAATCGCTAGCAGTACCAAGTGATGAAGTGAATTTTTGGAGAGATTTTGGTTATCAGGTTTATTCAATGATTACCGAACCTATGTCAATGGAAGCATTTCAATTAAATCCCTATCATGCTGTGTTATGGCGCAAACCAAGTTTCAAGGATGCTTACGCATTTTCTGCTTATTGCTTTGGGAAAGCAATGCAGAATGAGAGATATTTAATTGAGAATCAAAGTGATAATGGAAATGGAATGCCAATGATTCATGATTGGAGGTACTGTTTAGGCGTAAATTACTTTCTTATATTCATTTTCTTCGTCCAAAGTCTAATAATTTAACTTATAGGATACCTTATATGCTTGGCAAATGTTACCAAAAACTTGAAAAACCACCAGAGGTATCTTAAAATGCAACTTGATGCAACTATTATACAATTAAATGTTAATACGTTATTAATTATTTTAGGTGGTTATTCAATTATATAAATTGGCTGTGGATCGAACTCCTGAAAAATCTGGTGTTTCCGGTCAAGAAAAAATACTGGATGCTGAGTATAAAATGACTTCGACGTTATCCAAATATTTAATAAAGGGTCAAATAAAGGTGAATAATTCCAACATTATAATACGATTGTCTATATCAACAATATTTTTAAAATCATGTTCTATGCTGACTTTTACTATTATTTAAAGCCATCTCTTATTGAGAAATATCTTGATATCGATATTGAGGGTGATGATGTTGCTGCTGTTACTGCCGTTACTGCCGCCCATAAGGAATCACAAGAAGATCATCTAGAAAACTTTGATATAAATATACCTGAATACCGTCACGCGTATGATATTATCTGTTCTAAACTTGAAAATATACGCAAAGCTGATAAAAATAAATGGCATCATCGTCCGATATTTAGAGTAAGGTATCATTTTCAGATTATATTTTTATAATATTCAATATTAACTTATTTTCTAATCGACTGTTGATAGCATGCACGCTTACTTTATCGTGTGGAAAATAAGCCGGAAATTGCCAAATCAATACTATCACCTTTGTTTCATTTAAAGTTGACATCTAAAACGTTTATGAATGTTTGGAAACCTGAATTCGAAAGGTAAAGTATATGTATAAAAATAAGAAATTATTATTGTCATCAATATTTTAAATTTTGACTTCACAATATGATGTTTAAATAGATCAGGCAGACACTTTGTTTACGTACACAAATATATACTATTCTATATGAAACTGGCAAAGGTGACATTGGATGTTGATACGTTAAATAAAATTTCGGAAAAACTTCGAAAAGCTTCCAATATAGTTCTTAAGGACGAAATAATACAGACGAAATTGGCGAGCGCTTCTAAATATGTTGAAGAGATGATTAAGCAAACTGTTGATAAAGAAGTGAACATCCAAATTAATGAGGAGGAAAAGGGATTGGAAATGGAATTCGATGAAAGAGCTAATGATCAGCATGAGCAGCAGCAACACAAAGAACCAACAACTAATGTTATGTCTGTGGCATCCTTAATAACGCAGGATAGTGACCCTATGTTTTTCTAAGCAAATTACTTAATAAATTGAGACATTTTATACTTTTACAAACCTTAATGTATATTGGAATAAATATAATTTTCTGTTTTTTTTAAAAAATTTTCGAAAATAATCATGATGATATTCGAAAGGATAAGATAAGAGGGTTGGTTAAGGTTGAATAAAATAAAATATTATTTTATAAACATTCTCATTTTTTTTTCGAATAAAATTTTTTTTTCAGTAAGTTTAATGATTTCACTTTTACGTTTTATTTGAATAGATTCTAAAAAAAAATATTAAGTTATTATTAAAATCATGTATATATTATAAGATTTATTATAAAATAAAGTTTTATATTCTAATCAAAAAAAAAATAATAATTACATATAAAATAATAATTATTATTTACAAGTATTTATATAATATTTAATTCAAATATTTTATAACCAAATATTTTAACTTTATTGATAAAGTTTAAATTTAATTAAAATATAAAAAAAATATATATATATATATATTTTAAAAAAAGAAATTTTAAATAAATGTGAATTTATTTAATTATAAAAAAAAATCTTTATTTATCTTTTTTAAAAATATATATCTAATTATAAAAGATATCAGAATATATATTACAAATCTTTATATATAATTATTAATACTTTAAGTTAAAATTTAAAGATTAGTAAAATATTAGGTATTTAAGTTTTAAAAAGAAAAATAAATGATATCTTTAATTATTATCATATTTATAATATTATAAATACGATCAATCCTTTCTATAATCATCCTATATATAGTTATATTTATCTTTATAAATATATTTATGTTGATCTAATTTATTAATAAAAAATCTCTCTTTAGTCATATCTTATAATATTTTTGTAATCACATCATTTTTTTCAGTCCTAAGAGATGTGACTATATAGGAAGTCAACTGTATTTATTATTTAATTAAATGTATAAATTTTGTAAAATATAAAATATATTATTTGATTACAATATATAAATCATCTTTTAAAATAAATTTCAAATTTAAATTATTTATATTAAATGAATTATATTAATTAAAAGTAATGTAATCAATTATAATAAAATAAATAATTATAAAATATTTATTATAATATTATAAATTAATTGTATTATTATATATTAATTATAATATTACATTTATTTTAATTATAAATATTAAATCTTCAAATTTGAAATATATTTTCAATTTATAAATGTATAATATATCACTTTATAATCATATTATTTTTACTTTAAATTGAATGGTTTGATTTTTCATAATTTAAAATTAATTTTTATGTTTAATTTTTATTATAAATTCTTAATATAAAAATAAAATGATTTTCTAAAAATGTATTTCTAATATTCAAATCTGAAATAATAAAAATGAATCAAATCATAAGAACTCAAGAGTAGTAAAAGAATTTATTTTTTTGAAATATAAATCTTTCAAAATTTAATTCTATAAAATTAACCCTTTAAAATTTTTTACAAGATTTCAAATACTGTTAATGACGGTTTTGATTGGTACGTATTAAGTAATACAATTAAAATATTAAATAAATAACTATATTATATATCAAAGGAATGAAAAAAATTTTAATTTTAAAACAGAAAAGAAAGAAAAATTATATTATTAAGAGAAAATGAAGGGGGAAAAAAAATTATAAAGCAAGAAATTGATCTGGATTAGAATTTTCAAGTTTACGACTTGAAACGAATTTATCGCTGAACCAATTCTTCCATTCTCGCCATAAAGCATTATTAAAAAATATAGCAATTAAGTAAATGCCGGTCAAACTAGTTAACGTTTCAGCTGCAAACATTAAATCAAATCGAGGCATATATTTGCTCGCAATATTATTTGCACAAAAGGTTTGTCCTTTGCCTGATTGAATACAAGGTAACCATTCTTTTAAAAAATCTTCATTTTTTGCACCATTAGATATGGTAGTTAATTCAAGGAAATAAAATAACCAATAGAATATTACTGTAGTTAATAATATAATGGCTAATAAAAGTGCCCTCCATTGAATCCTAATTGCTTGTAATACATGACGACGATGTGTCATCAATTCATCCGAATTTTTGACTTCGTCTTGTTGTGAAACCTAAAAAAAAAGGTAATAATTTATAATTATAATATTAATGAGATAGTTACAAAAGACCAAAAAATAAAATAAAATAAATAAATACCTTAAATATATGAACAAATGTGGCTATATGTAGAAAGAAACTCGGAATAACAAAAATGGCCATAGGATAAAAGAATATATTATTAGCCATTTCAACTCTGATAAAACAAAGCGTAGCAAATTGATAAATAATTGATTGTCTTGCTAGTGCTACTACGGTTAATATTAATGGAATTCCCCAGCATATAGCGTAAATATAATAGTATCTATTGCTCAATATATTTGAATTCCATACGGTATGGATGTGAAGGTTAAGAATTATAACTCCAACCCACAAAGTAGTTGCATGTGAAGCAAAAATAAGTAAAGCTCCTTGAAAGCCACATAAGAACGGCTTATTTGCTTGAGTGCTAGCAATCACTTCATTTTCGCATTGAACCGCTTTTGGGTTTCCAATTGAAAAAAACACATTGGAAGAATACAAGAAAATTGATAAAGAAGCAAAAAGGATCAATATACTAGGATGATTTCTTTTTCCTGGTAAAACTAGATATGAAATTAACATAACCGCTGATCCAACAGCTGAAATGGCTCTTAATATTTGTGTTATCAAGAAACTACTTTCCATCTTATCTTCTGGATATAAAGCGTAGGATTGAGGACAAGGAAGACAGCAACCATTTCGACAAAGATTTGTAACTATAGTTTTGCTTTTATTAGATTCAACCCAAACATGATCCTCAATAAGAGGACTGAAACATTTTGGTCTAAAAGAAATCTGTGGAGAACTATTACATTCTTCTTTTGGATACTTGATATCTAATGGTGGCGATGTACCAATATCACCATTACAATCTTGAGGGAAGTACTTTGATGATTGAATGTACGTTTTAATAATATTTTGAGTATCCGGTGATGCGCTATCAATATTATTTACACAGGGATCCAAAACTTTTGTACATGTGGACTGACAAGGAAGGTCCAAAACGGTATTGGCTTCATTCAATTTAAAGAGAATTATTAATTTGAATTGATTTTAAGTTATTTCATAAAGAGCATAGTTTACTCACAGTCAGTCACTTTACATTTTATAAATGCAGTAGCGCATACAAAACTTGTGAAAGCTTGTACACAACTGTCAAGGATGGTATCATTATCTAGCGTTGATAAACCTTGGGCTATACTAAGATTTTTAAGGGAAAGTTCAATGCTTGAGACGTCCTGTCCATTTTCATGGGACACATAATCGATACGTGATATGTAATTCTTATGTTATGGAAATTAGTTAAAATAAAAAAACGTAAATAATCAAATCGAAAATAAAAAAATCATTAATAAAATTATTATACTTACAACACATACACCACCATCTTCAAAATAATGACTGCATTCTGTATAATAGTTATAAATTGGGTCTTGGGTTAAAGGAAATATTTTTTATTAAAAAAAAAAAAAAAAAAAATTTACCTTGTCCACGAACATCAACTATCGTACAAACCAATAACAAAACATATATGCAATGTCGTATTGTAAACCTCATATCGAAAATATAGAAATCGGGCAAAATTAATATAGTATTAGGGTTTTAAAAATAAATTGTAAGGGAAAAATATATATTTTTTTTCTTTAGACCCGAAAAAATAAAAAAAAAATAATTTTTTTTTTTTTCGCACTTTTTTTATAGTATCTATTTTGGAGGAACGTATACTTTTTTTTTTCATTTTAATAATAATGGATTTTCATTTGAAATATGAACGCGTTTTGTTTTAATAAAAAGCTTTTTTGTGAATTTCCGAAAAAAGAATCCATTTCAGGAAAGATTTTCGAAATTTCATAAAAAAATGTCAGTTTAGTCAAGAATATAAATTTTTAGTTTGGAAGAAACCAGTTAATGGAACGTGGGATGTTCCTCTTTTTTCATTACAATTAAGCTTTATGAAATTTGCTGAGAAGACCAAAAAAAAAAATAAAATAAAATAAAATAAAATAAAATAATAGAATCAGTTAAAATTGTGTGGAATTTTTTTTTTTTTTTGATATTGGTAGAGGATGATGATTTTTTGTCACATCTTATGTTTGCGAAATTTTATATTTTGTGATTAATTCCTTTTTATTAACGTTAATGAAAAATCAACCAAGTTCGGAGCTCATAGTGTAGATCCAGTTTTGGAATTCAGATATTCAATTCACGAATATCGAAAATCATTTCAATTAAAAATTAAAGTAAATAAATATAGGAAATCGGTCATTAACGACAACTATCCTTTCCCCTTTGCTCATATACCTTCAAGTACTTGGGAGAGTTTGCGAATTTTCTCCTCTTTTTTTTGGGATTGAGCGAAATGATTTCGATATTCGAATACTTTCAACGAAGTTCTTATTTTCAAACGGAGCGGATCCTTGTAATCCCCGATAGAATACGCCCATCCATTTTTTTTGATGTATTTCACGTGAATAAATGAAACCTATTTTTTAGCTAAACGTTATTTTTAACTTTATCCAATCAAAATTTTGCATTTATTGAAGATTTTTCAATTTTATGTACTTTATTTACTTTATTTAATTATTTAATATTATTTTTACCATTCGTGACTATTTCTATTATTTACGAGAAAAGGAAAAAATAAATAAAAAAAACCAAAATATCATCATTGTATAAGGGAAATTAAAAAATATATATACAGTATGTATGTATATATAAAAACACAAACACAGAAGAATAATATTTTATTCAGTAAATGGGAAATTATGATTATCTTCTCACAAAATTGGAAATTGAAACATGTTTGGCTGAGAATTTTTTTTGCAACATAAAAAGGGGGGATTGCATTTACATTATTATGCATCAAAAGTCGTCGGCTCGGTATGAATTTTATGAAATCCCTTTTTGTTGTAATAACAAAATTTGGTTTATGATTACAAAAAAAAAATTGTTTTGTTGTACAAAAAAAAAAAGGGAAAATTATTATTTTTTTTTTTTTTCTCTTCGATAAAGAAGTGTTCATTCATAGGAAAAAAATTAAAGATTAAAAATTAAAATTATTTTTCAACAATTGGAGCTTTATATTCGTCATTTATGACAACGAAAAGGCCACTTTCCCCAGGATAATCGCAAGTACGTGGGATAAAGATTCCCTCGTAGTCACAGTTGAGATTGAAGTTGGTGTACTTCTTCTTAAAAGGTTTGCTTCCACCATCTTTGGTTGGTATTACTTTCAAAGTTGATGTGAGATCATGAACGACACCGCATTCATCAACGATCTTGAAAGTGCACGGCTTGTTATTTAAACCTTTTGTGAAAAGACCTGCGATCTTTACATCGCCACATTCGTCTTGAGCGAAAACTATATGACCTTTGATTTTTTCATCGAAAATTGCCTCCGCGGTAGCGCAAGGACAATCTATATCGAGTGTTCTTTTACCCAAAACATTTCTCTTTACTACACAAAAGCTTCGTTTATTAAGAAAGGTTGGTTCATTATCTGCTGAAACAACAGTGAGGAATAAGAGAGTATATGCTAGGAACGCCAAAGATATAAAACCTTTCATCTTGATGTTTGTAATTATTTGCTTTTTCTTTTTTTTTTTTTCGTTTATAAAAAAATTAGATTAATTATTGGGGAAGGAAAAAATAATTTCGAGTGAATACGTCTATTTATAAGAGAAATTTTACGCCCAAGGGAATGTTTTTTTATTGTTATTATGAGAATTACACAAGAGATTGGATTTATTAATAAACTTCTAAATTTATTCATGTGTGTGTAATTAAATTATAGTCAAAAAAAAAATTGTGGTAAAAAAAAGTATTACGTACAACTATTTATAGTTACATTATGCGACTTTTTCATTGAATTGGACATATTTAGATCTTTTGCATATCGCCCAATCGTTAATATAAAAAGATTTCGATGTTTTAATTATACATTCATTCATTATATGTACAAATCCTGTCATTCCCGGATTGAAACCAAATATTTTCAAACATGATGACAATGCTTATTGTTTACTTGCATTTCCAATTTGTTTTATTAAATTTTTTTTTTTTTTTAAAACAACAAAAAAAAAAAGAATTTACCTACGAAAAAAGTGCTTTTTCGGAAGTGGCTTTCATACACTCCGAAATTTGTTACTCAACACTCAAGACGAAACAAAAGTGTTTGACAAAGAGTTGTTACATAACAATTTGTTATAAATAGACAAACCCCTTCCGAGTGCCCAAAAGGATGTGTTTGAGATACTTCACTTTATTTTATTGTTGTTACATCACGTTTTTTTTCTTATATAAATTTCCAAATTAATCGTAAATGTGGCGCAGTCATGCCGGGATAGCGTGAATATTGAGAAGAGCCAACGAAAGATTCAGAGAAAAAAACTTTCAAAAAAAGATGCATCATTCAAAGTTCCATTTTCTGTTAAAAGAAAAACACTTGAGAACCATTTAAAAGTTTTTGATTTTTGATAATATAATATCAGTTAAATCATGCGAAAAATAAACTTACGAAACAACGCTTTATAAGTTTCATAACAGACCGTTCGGAAAAATGAGTCAGTTCTGTGCTTTTGGAAAATACGAATAATCTTCTTAATGAAGTTGAGCGACAATGGAGGAGGTATTCTTTTAGCGCGAATTTTCACATACGCATTTGGCAAAATCATTATGAACCTAAAAAAGGGTGTATATCATATGAATAAAGAATATAAAATAAAAGATGAGACATATCTAATGTATCTAAGTTCATTTATTGTATATCATACTTATTTTACTCGATTTTTTTTTTTTTTTTTTTATTCAACATAAATTTAATTTATATAAGCAGTGATGTAATAAAAATTTCTTACTATCCAAATGGTTTTATTAAAAAATTAACCTTCCAAAGTGCTTCTGATAGTGCTTCCAATCATCCAATTATTTTTCGTTTTATATAATCAATAGTTTGTGGTTTATCGTGTCGTAAGGTTGTCTTAAGAGGAATACTTTTTCTAAACTAATATTATTTAATTTAGGCGAAAGCAATGTTCAGAAAACAACTTATTCGAAATTTAGGTTTGTCCTTTCATGGAAAATTGAAATGAAAATCTTCACATGTATTTCTTAAGTGACATGACTACATGACTTTCGTAACATTTGATGGCCGTTTCCGAATATTTTTACGTGAACGAGTTAAAAAATGAATCAATCATATCACGTGTCGTGTTCATTATAAATAATAAAAATAGAAATCAAAATTATTTCAAAAAAGTAAAGACTTATTTATATCTACCTCTTACTTCTTTGATTCTAAGAAAAACTAAGAAACGCGTTTATTATAAAACTAATATTATAATATTTTAATTTTAGAAAAATTTTAAAATAAAGATAAACCACAATCACCATTGAAAAAGTGCTTTTTTAGCAAAAGATTTTTTTTTTTTTTTAATATATTATTATTTTTTAGGTCAAATTATGTTCAAATTTAGAACTAACACTTTTTTTATTTTTTTCAGCCGTTTCCTCCTTTTCTATTGTCAAAGGTCCCATATAATATAATCTTTTTTACTTTGATAATACGAATTTATAAATAAATTTATTTACTCTAAATTTTCTTCTAATTATTTTTATAAAATAATAAAAAAAAAAAATTTTAATTTAATTTTATAAAAAAATTTATGTTAATCATAATTTATAAGTTGTATTTTATATAGATATTTTATTTTAAAAAATAAAAATAAAATTAAATATATAGATAAATAAAACAAACTTTCTTATAAAGTTACTCTCTTTTTAAATATAAATTATTTATAATGAATAACATTAACATGTTATTAATTTACAATATAGTAAACTCGTAATTTTATTGCGTGTTGATTAGTTATTTCAGAATATTATATAATTCTTTACAACTTTTTATAATAATAGAATTTTGCCGAAGGTTTTTGGACCTAAATCAAGTAAACTTTGACTGAATATATATAATTCTTATAAGAACCATTATAATTATGATAAAATGGCTTGATTGTGTTTTCAATAATTGAAGGTTTTATTGGAAAATTGAACTTTAAACAAAATAATCAATATGCCAAAAATAATTAATTTCGATGCAACACCTACAATCATAAAATTAGTATGGTCGTAAAGATTTGCGTATTTATTCCAAGTACGTTATAATCAGATTTCTGGTAGCAGATATCCAATATTCATAAATCCGATAGCGAATTTTATTTATCGTCCCGTCCTTAAGGTAGTTTGGCAAAAACCCTGAGATTTCTACAGGTGACAAGATCGAAAATAGCTTTGACGCTTTGCCAAATTTTTTTTTTTAAAAACAAAACCGCGAAAGTTTCGACGGGTGGTATAACCCATAAAATAAATTCCCTTTTGGGGTAGTCCTAGGTAGAATTTTCTTAAATTTATTCATAATTTCCCGAACCTTTGTCTAGGTTCAAAAAAGATCTCCAAGTCCAACCGTTAAATTTTACAATTAACTTGAAATAGTGAATCCAAAATCATCGAAACTCGAAATTGTCGAAACTGAAAATTATTTGAAAAGTTTCGACTTTTGACAATTGGGATTAAGGTTTTGCCCCGCAACCTTAATCGTTCCATTTTTGACCAACCGAAGATAAAGTCAAAAATCACTAAGGAAGCAAAGAAACGTTTACTCCAGCCGAAATTAAGATTTTTATGATTACATAGCTCTGACCAAATTTAGTTTTAACCGGTTTAAATAATTATCGTTATGCTGTGTTTTGATGATAAATAGCACAATTAATTAATTTTCTAGGATTTGGGTAGAAGTAAATTTAAAAATCGAAAATATTGATATGATGGAAAGTCGACAAGAACGTTGTTGGTTGATAGAGATTTATATAATTAGTTCAAAATTATTAAAATTTACAATTTTTGAATAACTAATTAAAAATAATTACTTGGAAACAGGTAGAAGAAAATTAGTCCACTAACTACCCACTCTCAAAGGTGATTTTGAATGATAAAGACATCAAAGAATTAAAGAATTATGACAAGAAAGAGATATAATAAACGGTAATCGCTAATGAGAGCAGGATAATAATTTTATAAGGGAGAAACATAATTTATTTCATAGCTTCCCCCTACAATATGACTAGAAAAATCACGTGGCTTCAATTTGGAACGTCAATTTCAATTTTATTAAGAATTGAAATTTTCGTAGAAATTGACCAAATTACTGCGACACGAAAATCATTGTACTACGTACGTCTATTTTTTCAACTAGTAACGTTACCCAAACGCCATATATAAATTAAAAAAAGGGAGTTCAACAATTTTTCACTTAAATTATGGAGTATTTGCAGGAATTATCGAGTGATTTTGGTAATTTAATAAATGACAAAGAAGAATCTAATGTGATAATACAAGTTGGGGAGGAACCAAATTTGAGAGAATTCAAAGCTCATACCTTGGTATTGAGAAGCAGATCTTCATATTTTCGTACCGCTTTGTCAAATAATTGGGCAAAAAAAGATGGTGATATGTATATTTTTAAGAAGCCAAATATTTCTTCTGAAATATTTGATATCATATTGAGGTAACATTATAAAATTTCTTTTTTTTATTCAATAAAAGAACGTTACATAATTGAATTCTTTTTTTTTTTAAAAAAAAAAAAGATTCATATATTGCGGAAAGATAACACTTAAGGACAAAGAAAGTTCCAAGGCTATTGCCTTATTAGTAGCATCAGATGAATTGGAACTTTTTAATTTATGTAAATACGTACAAACTTACTTGATTGAGCAAGAATCCGATTGGTTACTACAAAATCTCTTGACAATTCTCGAAGTACTTTCAAAACATCAAACTTTTACGATGTTAATTGAATATTTATTAGGAACAATATGCGGAAATCCTCAATTAATATTTGGAAGTCATGATAAATATTTGGCTCTGGATGAAAACATCATGATACAACTATTGAAAAGGGATGACTTGGAAATGGATGAAATTGATATCTGGACTTATCTTATTAAATGGGGAATATCTAAAACAAATTACCTCGTTGAAGATAATTTACCTAATTGGACAAGGCAAGATTTCAAGGCTTTGGAGAAAGTATTACATAATTCCATTCCTTTAGTGAGATATTTTCAAATATCTTCGGAGGAGTTATATGACAAAGTAAGAAATCCGTTCAAGAAGATCTTACCAAAAGAATTAAATGAAGATATCATAAGGTATTTCATGAAACCTGGATCAAAACCAACATTTTCTCAAGGAATTCTTACGGCAAGGGTAACCATCATCGATTCGACCATAATTAAATCAACTCACGCGGCATTGATAAGTAGTTGGGTTGATAATAAGGATCATTATAATTGTAGGAAGATTCCTTACGATTTTTATTTATTATTAAGAGCAAGTAGGGATGGTTTCGATTCTTCCACATTTCATTCTCGTTGTGATTATAGAATTGGTACCGTGGTTTTAATCAAGTTGAAAGGAAGTCAAGAAATTCTTGGAGGTTTTAATCCTTGTACTTGGCAACGATCTTATCTGGATGATCCTTGGACTCACCGTTCTTTATCCGATTATCAAACCACGTCGAGTAGCTTCATTTTTTCTTTTAATATGAAGGGAGGTTTAAGTGATTATAAATTAAGTAAAGTTCAATTTCCAAGCAATGCTATTTATTGTTACACGTCAAATGGCCCTTGCTTTGGAAATGGTGATTTGTGGATGACAGGAAATTTTGGAAGTTCAAAACGAACAACCTATAAAGAGGTCATAACCGAGTCATTTAATTTTTTTGCGGATGATTATGAAGTTTTTCAATTGGTAAAAAAGTGAAATGTTTTTTGCGCGCGAAAAAAAAAAATAAGTTTTTTTTATGTATTTATTTAAAAAAAAATCTTGAAATTCTGTTGGGTAGCAAAACTAAACGTCACCCAAATGGAAAAATTTTTTTATTGTTGATCGTTTTTTAAAAAAAAAAGAATCTCGTAAAGATCACAAATGTTGAAGAATTTCTAAAAATGTATCCCATTTCCATTTAGTTCCACACATCATGATAGTAAATTTTCTTTCGCTCATACGTAAAGGAGGTTTCTTGTATTCTGGTAAGACGTTTAACCTACTTTCTCTCCAAATGACTTGACATATTGGCCAAATTGAAGAATTCTTATTCTTTAAATATAATATTTCACTAAACTCTTTACATACTAATGCCAATGTGGCTAAATCTTTCGGTGCCAAATATTTACATATGTGTGGAAGTATTTCAATCGGTATCATAGAAAATAAATGATGATGAAATGTATGGGTTAAACGAGTATGGTTAAATGTTGCGAGAATTGTTGAAGGATAAAAAAATGATGAGTTTATTGAATAAAATGTGATTAAATGTTTGTAGAATCGTTACCGACGATTTTTCAAGATAAAATCTTTTTTATTTGAAACTTTTAATTTTCATCTTGAAAATAAATTTACATTTTAATATCAAAAGTTGCTAACTTTTTTTTTTTTGTTTTTTGTGGCTTTGAACGTGGCACAGAATAATCTATGCAAGATCATACATGTGTTTTTAATCTAAGCCAAGATGGGCCAAGAACCTTAACCCAGATCCATTGACGGGTAATTATAACCTGGACCCTGGGTTTAGGATGAAATATGATTGGTTTCAAAATGGGGCATAGTAAATCATACAATCCATGATTCATATATTCGTCTAATTTTTATCATTGGAAAATCTTTTACAACTATTAAATATTAAAAAATATCAATGTATTTTTTTGCACACTTAAAAATGAATTATGTTTCCACGCCTTATGAACGGCAATTTCGCTGCTTACAGTACAAAAAACGCGTTTGTTGTAGTTATTTATAAAATATTCACAATATTCTACACTTGAAACTTCGAACAAGGGTTTTCGTTTGAAGTTCAAGTAGTATTTGAAATATTAACGAATATCCGAAATGATTCATGTTACGGATCATATGATATTATGTCGTAACACGATTTTAATAGTAAACCTCTCATTTGATGAATTTTGATTATAATACTATTTTATAATTTTGAATATTTGAATTTTATTTATTTGCAAAAAAATATTCGAATATTCTATTTTCTACCTCGAACTGTAATAATTATATAATTTTAAATATTTGAATTTTTATTATTTGCAAACAAATATTCGAATATTTACCTCGAACTGTATTTTTTGATAAGGGGAAGTGAATCAAAAATGATAAACAAATAAATTTGTGATGAACAATCGAATTTGGATAATGATCTGAATGAACCCCCGCCCCGGTCTAGGTTAAGTTTATTCTAATTAATAAGTACGTTCAATGTAACATTAAAAATATTTGTATCAATAGATTATCGAATGATAATTCTTATAATTCTTGTAATCGTGTAACATAATTGAAAAATATCGTACGACATTAATTTTGTTCCAGATCACATAAATAGAATAAAATTTTCTTTTTTTTTCGTCTTTTTTTTTTTTTTTTTTTACCTATTTAGGCTATAAAGTTTTTTTACTTTTTTTTAAAAAAAAAAAAAAAAAATTTTTATCTATAGTCAAATTCTGAAATATGTCTCCATTTACATCAGTTTCAGAAAATATTCCTTTACCTAGCAAAGAAGATGATAATCCAGATCATCGAAATCCTTTATATCTCGGAGATTGGAAAAAGTCAATTCCATACGTTGATGAAGACATAGCGATAGATGATTTGGATGAACCACATTTGAAAAGAAAGATTTCAATTTTAAAAAAATATCCAGAAATCGAAAATTTATATGGATATGATAAATCAACCATTATAATAGTTGTATTGTCATCGGCAGTACAATTTATTGCGGCCTATGTTTTCGGTAGAATTTTGACGGACTGGAATTTATTCATGTTAATGTATTGTTTCTTTGTTGGTGCTTCTTTTACACAACTTTATGGTGTGATCATTCATGAAGCGACGCATTGTCTAGCTGCTCCAACACTTTTTCAAAACCGTATCATAGCACTTGTGGCAAATGCTGCGCTTCCTTTTCCAATCGCAATGTCATTTCGTCGTTATCATTTGGAACATCATACTTTTCAAGGTGTGTTAGGACTTGACCCTGATCTACCCTTGGAGTGGGAATCAAAATTGATTCGTGGAAATTCCTTTTTAAAATTCATTTGGGTAATGATTTTTCCCGTGTTGTACGTTATTAGAGGTGCGGTAATGGGGAAGGAACCTAGTAATTGGGAAATTGTGAATTGGATTTTTAACATTACAGTTAATTATCTGGTTTACAATTTTTGTGGTCTTAGAGGTTTATCATATCTATTATTATGTTTATGGTTGGGTTACAGTTTACATCCTGCCGCCGCTCATTTTATTCAAGAACATTATACTTTTGATGATGGTCAAGAGACTTATTCGTATTATGGAATTTTAAACCTGTTCTTTATGAATATCGGTTATCATAACGAACATCATGATTTTCAAAAGGTAAGAATCTCTCTAAAAAAAAAAAAAATAAAGTAATTGGCGATTTTTATATAACCTTGTTTTATATTATTTTTTAGGTACCATGGTCAAAATTACCTCAAATTCGTAAAATCGCTCCAGAATTTTATGATAATTTGGCTTATCATACTTCTTGGTTTATGGTACACTGGAATTTTATCTTTCAAAAACAATATGGTCCTCAATCTCGTGTTGGTAGAACCGTTGAGGATCATAAAAAAGGAAGAAAGTTGATGAAAAATTTAAAAAATGAGGAATAATGACGACAGAATATCTGGAACAATGATAACTAATTTGTTAATCATTCTAGATAATACTGGTTTTTTTTTTTTTTATGACGATAGTCACCACGATACAAGTACTAATCCTGCTTTCTTATATGCGTATGGCAACATTAATTTTTATACTCGTATATATATATATCACCTGATCAGCACAAAATGTCAAATTTTTCTAAATTATTTATGGATGAAAAATTTATTTAAGAAAAATAAAAATAATTTCAATCTTTTTTACATTGCGTAGTATTTTCATTAATAATTTTTAGAATGTATTTTTATGTTTTTTCGTATTACAATCAAATAAATCTCAAAGTTTAATGCGGGATTGGAACAAACAAAAAAAACTTTTTTCCTCGGGCGAAAAAATAACACTCTCGTCCAAACAGCATATATGTATGTTGTAGGTTTTAAATAAATAAATAAAAAAAAAAAAATAGAATCCTTGCGCAGCATTTAAAGTTTTCAATTGTTTTATCAAATTTGGTAAAGCAAGCTTCGATATTTGGAAAGGTCTCGACACTTCAATTGGGTTATGCAATTTACAATTTATGAAATTTATCATTCAAAAAAAAAAATAACGGACAGATTTAAGAAAACTTGTGGTGGTGTAGATTATTTATTGAAAAAAAATTTTCTTATACAAAAACGAAATAAAATGGTCATTTTCGTTTATTCATTCGTTCAAAGAACTATGATCAACTAATTAAGTTTTGAATAAAATGAGGAATTGATAATATCATTAATTTAATAAATAAACGTTATTTAAACGATCAAATTATTAAAGGGAAAAATCAATGCATTAAATTACCTTTGAACTTTGATGTTGTGACCTAATCACAAACATTTATTTCAGAGGACTCTTTTTAAATCGTACATAACTATTCAGAATGAGTATTTTGTAGGTAGAGAAAAAATAAGTTCAAGTTTTAATAAAATAAGCATTTATAATTATTTTGACACACAATGAAACAATAAATCTAATATATAATTAATTACCCTACACCAAGATATTTGACTTTGGTAACAATTGTGTTGTAGTTGAAAAGAATTGTCCAAACTCGAGAGCATTTTGAGTGACCTTTTATAATTGAATCTTTTGAGAATCAAAATTCCAGTTTTACCCGTAATTATTTTACGAGACATTTACCCATGATTTCTTGAAAAAACTTTGGGGAAAAGATGCGAGATAAAAGGTTGGGATTTCTTAATATGGATAGATTGAGAAAGTATCATCAATTATTCTTTCTTTGGTTTTATTTGAGCATGTGAAAAAATCTTATGTTTTTGTTAGAGAATTAGGAAATAAAAAATTGGGCGTTCTTTAAAAAAAAAAAAAAAGCCTCAATCATGACAATCCACATGACTAGTGGTTGGAAAGCTCGCCAAAATTTATGAAACTAAAATTCGTCGAAAAAAAAAAGGAACCCAACCAACGATCAACTCGAATAATAAAAAAATTAATATTCAAAAATTATCATTCAAAAATAATTTAATATTTGTTTTTGTTTCTATTTACGGTAATTTCATCTATCCTTTTTACAATTAAATGTGATTCTGATAAGAAATATTTCTTTTCCCATGTGAAAATGATTTACACATTCCAAGATAAATGCGCCAAATGAGGCACAACTTATCATCGCATCGAAATTCTATGAGAAAATTTGATTTTTTAATGATACGGGTTCCATTATATCGAGCAATAAAAGAAAGGCCGGGTACATAAAATTTACAAATGTTACACATATCACGAATTGTAGTCACGTGATATTTTTTGAAATTTTTATTAATAATGTCAAAACTATAAGCATTACATTTTCCTTTTCAGATTTACAAAAAAGGATGGCAAGAATGTAATATTACTATTCATGTTTTATGAAGCTGAATAACTAAATGAACAAATTAACAGAAAATTTTCTAATAACATATAATTATCTTAACAATAAATTGTATTTTAATTTCTAATAGTAAAATTTTAGTTATAAATATAAAATATAAACTAAAGATATAAAGATCTTTACTGGTTAATAATTAAAATGTTTTTATTCATTAATATTAAATTTAAACTAATATTTTCATTATAAATTTAACAAATTTTTATAATATTAAAATTAATTTCTTTAATTAATTAATTAATAAAGTTATCTATTTAATTATCTAGAGTGAAGCGAAAGACAATATATAATTATGCAATATTGATCCTATAATATGATTACATGAACATTTTTACTTATCGAAAAACTCTTTTTCCTTCTTCTCCAAACTACAAAAAATGAGAAAAAAAAAAACCAAAATTTTTCACAAAATAATAACTGCAACTTGTAAAGTTGTTTTAGCTCTTCAAATAACAATAAAGAACAATCATCAAAGAAAAACCCATGACTATTTTGTCTAAACCTACTAATGAAGTTACAGCTGATTCTTTGAAAATTTTAACAATTACAACAATTTTTTCAGCTGGTAATATGGATATAGACCAACAAATTAAATCTATTCTCTCTGAAATAGTTGAATATGATACACTTATAATATTTTCAAATAATAATAATAATAAAGAAATATTAATTTCACCTCTCGTTATTAGTAAATCATCAATTAAAATACCAAAGGATAGTAAAGCATTAACCAACAATAATATAGACAAAGACTAGACTTTTAACGCTTCTGAAAATATGTTAAACAATAAAAATATCAATAAAAATACTATCACTTTTGAAAAAATATAGAATGCAACTATTTTCTATATTTACTGCACTGCAAAAATCTTTCTTTCCAATAAATATTTTTGCAAAAAAATCAACAAGGCCTATAAATTGTTCAATAACGTTGTGACAGGTAAAATTTTAGATAGATTTAATTGGTAGTTTATTAAGTCCATTTTATTGCCGTGTAGATCTTCTATAAAGATCAATTTGTTCATTTTATTGTTGTCGATCAATTATGTAAATCATTAGATGTCAATTTTATTGCCCTTGATAATCACGTAGATCAAGATGTCCATTTAGTT